CTTATGGAAAGATAACAACATCCCCTGCGACAAATACCTTTTGACTATTGCTCTGGATTCTGGCCCCCCGAAATGACGCTGCGCCGGTCCGAAAGTTTGTCGCACTCTCTGATGTCGACTTACAACATATATTTTCACGCCCCCTGTTCCCCGTTTAGACTCCTCCAGAAGTCCTCCGACGAGGAACCCAATTATAGTACTCTAACTTCATCCTGTGTGATATTCCTCCGCAAGCCGGCTCTGCTATCCTCACGCCAGGGGACTCCGCGTATCCGTTGAGGTTGCGAACGGATGCCGACGAAACTCTTAGTACCGGGGAATGCCTCGCCGTGGACACTTTTTTTATTCAGCAAAAATGCACTGGATCACCTGAAACTTAAGCACATGTCCTGGCTTGGTATTGCCTGCAAGGATCCAGCCGATGATTCCATAATCCAGCGGGCAATTGGGGCTTGCAGTCCAGCCTTATGGAAAGATAACAACATACCCTGCGACAAATACCTTTTGACTATTGCTCTGGATTCTGGCCCCCCGAAATGACGCTGCGCCGGTCCGAAAATTTGTCGCACTCTCTGATGTCGACTTACAACATATATTTTCAAGACCCCTTTTCCCCGTAGACTCCTCCAGAAGTCCTCCGCCGGGAACAATTATAGTACTCTAACTTCATTCCCGGGTGATAATTCCTCCGCAAGCCAGGCTCGGCTACTCCTTACAGACCGGGACTCGCGTTATTCCGTTGAGGTTGCTAACTGGATGCGACGAAACTTTAGTACCGGGCATTTGCCTCGCGTGGAAACTTTTTCTCAGCAAATGGACACTGGCTCACAATGACCGTAAAGCACATTGTCTGGCTTGGTTGCGCAAGGGATCAGCATGATTCCATAATCAGCGGGCAATTCGGGGCTTGCAGTCCAGCCTTATGGAAAGATAACAACATCCCCTGCGACAAATACCTTTTGACTATTGCTCTGGATTCTGGCCCCCCGAAATGACGCCTGCGCGGTCCGAAAGTTTGTCAGCACCTCTCTGATGTCGACTCTCTCTTACAACATATATTTTTAAGACCCTTTTCCCCGTAGACTCCTCCAGAAGTCCTCCGCCGGAAACATTATAGTTTACTCTAAATCATGCCGGGTGAGAATTTCCTCCCAAGACCCAGGCTTCGGCTCCTCCTCACAGCCCGGACTCAGCGTACTAGGTGAGTGTTTGCTAACGATGCGACGAAACTTTAGTACGGGCATGCCTCGCAGTGACACTTTTTCTCAGCAAATGGACACTGGACTCACCCTGACCTTAAAGCCACATGTCCTGGCTTGGTTGCTGCAAGGATCAGCCATGATTCCATAATCACCACCGGGCCGAAAGTTTCGACATGCAGCTTATAACATATGATGTATGCCGCGGAGAGGCGGAGAGCCCCCAGACCCATTTTACGTGGCCAGCATGGCGGAGTAATTACTTTCCGGGAATAAATTTATACTATTATATAGTTTCCGGCGGAGAGCTTTGCGGGGTTGTGCTAGGATTCTACGGGGGAAAAGGGGGGAACATGCGGTGATCTCTCAACTTCATCTTGTATGGCGAACTTTCGTCCTGCGGTAGCGGGCAATTCGGGGCTTGCAGCCCAGCCTTATGGAAAGATAACAACATCCCCTGCGACAAATACCTTTTGACTATTGCTCTGGATTCTGGCCCCCCGAAATGACGCTGCGCCGGTCCGAAAGTTTGTCGCACTCTCTGATGTCGACTTACAACATATATTTTCAAGACCCGTTTTCCCCGTAGACTCCTCCAGAAGTCCTCCGCCGGGAACAATTATAGTACTCTAACTTCATTCCCGGGTGATAATTCCTCCGCAAGCCAGGCTCGGCTACTCCTCACAGCCCGGACTCCGCGTACTCCGTTCATTGTGCTAACGTATCGACGAAACTTGTGCCGGCATGCCTCTCCGTGACCCTTTTTTTTCAGCAAATGACACTGCCTCACCCCGACCGTAACGCCACATGTCCCTGGCTTGTTTGGCGAGGATCAGCATGATTCCATAATCAGCCCCTCGCCGTGACCACTTTTTTCCAGCAAATGACACTCCTCAACCCCGACCTAAAGCCACTGTCCTGGCTTGATTGCGATGACAGCCCATGAGTCCAGAATCACTCGCAGGAGTAGCGGAGAGAGCCCCAAGACCCATTTTACGTGGCCAACGTGGCGGAGTAATTACTTTCCGGGAATAAATTTATACTATTATATAGTTTCCGGCGGAGAGCTTTGCGGGGTTGTGCTAGGATTCTACGGGGGAAAAGGGGGGAACATGCGGTGATCTCTCAACTTCATGTTGTATGGCGAACTTTCGTCCTGCGGTAGCGGGCAATTCGGGGCTTGCAGTCCAGCCTTATGGAAAGATAACAACATCCCCTGCGACACATACCTTTTGACTATTGCTCTGGATTCTGGCCCCCCGAAATGACGCTGCGCCGGTCCGAAAGTTTGTCGCACTCTCTGATGTCGACTTACAACATATATATTCAAGACGCCGGTCCGAAAGTTTGTCGCACTCTCTGATGTCGACTTACAACAGATATTTTCAAGACCCCTTTTCCCCGTAGACTCCTCCAGAAGTCCTCCGCCGGGAACAATTATAGTACTCTAACTTCATTCCCGGGTGATAATTCCTCCGCAAGACAGGCTCGGCTACTCCTCACAGCCCGGACTCCGCGTACTCCGTTGAGTGTTGCTAACGGATGCGACGAAACTTTAGTACCGGGCATGCCTCGCCGTGACACTTTTTCTCAGCAAATGACACTGGCTCACCCTGACCTTAAAGCCACATGTCCTGGCTTGGTTGCTGCAAGTATCAGCCATGATTCCATAATCACCACCGGGCCGAAAGTTTCGACATGCAGCTTATAACATATGATGTATGCCGCGGAGAGGCGGAGAGCCCCAAGACCCATTTTACGTGGCCAGCGTGGCGGAGTAATTACTTTCCGGGAATAAATTTATACTATTATATAGTTTCCGGCGGAGAGCTTTGCGGGGTTGTGCCAGGATTCTACGGGGAAAAGGGGTGAACATGTGGTGATCTCTCAACTTCATGTTGTGTGACGAACTTTCGTCCTGCGGTAGCGGGCAATTCGGGGCTTGCAGTCCAGCCTTATGGAAAGATAACAACATCCCCTGCGACAAATACCTTTTGACTATTGCTCTGGATTCTGGCCCCCCGAAATGACGCTGCGCCGGTCCGAAAGTTTGTCGCACTCTCTGATGTCGACTTACAACATATATTTTCAAGACCCCTTTTCCCCGTAGACTCCTCCAGAAGTCCTCCGCCGGGAACAATTATAGTACTCTAACTTCATTCCCGGGTGATAATTCCTCCGCAAGCCAGGCTCGGCTACTCCTCACAGCCCGGACTCCGCGTACTCCGTTGAGTGTTGCTAACGGATGCGACGAAACTTTAGTACCGGGCATGCCTCGCCGTGACACTTTTTCTCAGCAAATGACACTGGCTCACCCTGATCTTAAAGCCACATGTCCTGGCTTGGTTGCTGCAAGGATCAGCCATGATTCCATAATCACCACCGGGCCGAAAGTTTCGACATGCAGCTTATAACATATGATGTATGCCGCGGAGAGGCGCAGAGCCCCCAGACCCATTTTACGTGGCCAGCGTGGCGGAGTAATTACTTTCCGGGAATAAATTTATACTATTATATAGTTTCCGGCGGAGAGCTTTGCGGGTTTGTGCTAGGATTCTACGGGGGAAAAGGGGGGAACATGTGGTGATCTCTCAACTTCATGTTGTATGGCGAACTTTCGTCCTGCGGTAGCGGGCAATTCGGGGCTTGCAGTCCAGCCTTATGGAAAGATAACAACATCCCCTGCGACAAATACCTTTTGACTATTGCTCTGGATTCTGGCCCCCCGAAATGACGCTGCGCCGGTCCGAAAGTTTGTCGCACTCTCTGATGTCGACTTACAACATATATTTTCAAGACCCCTTTTCCCCGTAGACTCCTCCAGAAGTCCTCCGCCGGGAACAATTATAGTACTCTAACTTCATTCCCGGGTGATAATTCCTCCGCAAGCCAGGCTCGGCTACTCCTCACAGCCCGGACTCCGCGTACTCCGTTGAGTGTTGCTAACGGATGCGACGAAACTTTAGTACCGGGCATGCCTCGCCGTGACACTTTTTCTCAGCAAATGACACTGGCTCACCCTGACCTTAAAGCCACATGTCCTGGCTTGGTTGCTGCAAGGATCAGCCATGATTCCATAATCACCACCGGGCCGAAAGTTGCGACATGCAGCTTATAACATATGATGTATGCCGCGGAGAGGCGCAGAGCCCCCAGACCCATTTTACGTGGCCAGCGTGGCGGAGTAATTACTTTCCGGGAATAAATTTATACTATTATATAGTTTCCGGCGGAGAGCTTTGCGGGGTTGTGCTAGGATTCTACGGGGGAAAAAGGGGGAACATGTGGTGATCTCTCAACTTCATGTTGTATGGCGAACTTTCGTCCTGCGGTAGTATATCCGATACCCTAGTTTAAGGGGCTTCACATTATGATTTAGGCTATGTGCCTTTACAAAGGGGTATCGGGCTTTCTGGGATGTGCAGCGATTCCACTAGCTGCTTCAATCCCCAAGCTCTACACACACTAAAATGAGGTTTGGGTTTGGGGATTCGACATTGCCGCTAAACCATGCACCCCAAACCCTAGCCCACACAAAAAAATCTAAACCTCAGTTGGCTACTGCTTATGATGGAAATCCTGCATTACCCATCATAAGGAATATACCATACTTCCCATAGTCTAGGGTCATTAACCTAGTAGTAGAGTAGGCAACCTTAAACTTTTTTGGGTAGTAAAGTCCCTATATAATCCCTACACAACCCGAAAAAAGGTTAACTTTTAGTTCCCCATGATACCCGACAAGTAGGTTAAGGTAATGCAGGATTTATATCATCAACCGTAGGGCGTACCGGGGCCAAGGCGGAGGCACCGGCTCCGAAGAAGAGTTTGAAGAAGAAGGGGCTGAAGGACAAGGCCGGCTCCTGCCATGAATGTATAGTAGGTAGGTACCCTTGAAGCTCCTTAAAACGGCTCTAAAAAGGGATCCTTGAGGGTAACTTGAGGGTTCTACTTGGAGGATCATGGGACATAGTAAGTAGGTTATGCTTGGGGTTATAAGTGTTCGAAGTATGGCTATCCTAACCATAACGTGCCTATAGTCCCATGAGCCTTGAAGAATGGTTTCGGTTTGAGGGTTTAGGGCTCAGGAATAACCGCTTGCCCTTTTTATTGTATGGTTCCCTTTATAATGCTGAATAGCAGGAAAAAGGGTACCCTGGTTACTGAGGGGTCGCTCAGGAACCCAATACAGTAGACGCCATAAAGTTGGAACATTACTTAAAGGCTCATGGGACTTAGTAAGTAAGGTTATAAGTGGCTCATAATTAGGATAACACCACTTAGGGGACTTATAACCCCAGTTATAACCTACTTTCTAAGTCCCACGATCCTCTGAGTAACCTAAACTCCCCCTCATAGAACCCTTATATTCTAGATCCCTAAACCCTAAACCCTTTAAGGAGCCCTTTAAGGAACCCTAAGTCCCATGATCCTCTAAGTAGAACCCTCATGCCGCCCTTTAGGGTAAAGCATAAGGTTAGGGACCCCAAAAGCACATGAGCGGGTTTCGGGATTTAGAGACTTTGGGTTTAGGGATTTAGGGTTTAGGGGTTTAGGGTTTGGGGTCTTAGGAACACCAAAAAAGGACATAAGCATAAACATTTCATGGGGATCTCCCAGCCCTATTGGGCTTCAATATAAGGGGATCTATATGGGATATCCCTATCCTCATTTTTGATTATGTGCTTTTTCGGGGCCCCATAAGGGATTCCAGCACAAATCATCCTAAGCCCATGTTGAAGCTTGCTGGGGGCCGCTGTAAGGATTAGGGACTTTGGTTTCGGGTGTGCTTTTTATAGGTTCTCTATACCTTTGACAGGATTAACTACAGAAAAATCTATGAGGGCTATAGGAGTTTGTATGGATTGATTTTTAAGCCCTGAACAGTAAATCCCATATTCACCTCCTTCTTCCCGGATCAGATTACATAGATCCCCATCAAGATCCTTTCTCCAGCTGTCGGTTTAGGGTCTCGCGATTATGAACCCGGGGTCTACAGTATGGCTCATAACTACTACTATTTGCTTAAGAAACACCCAAAAAATAAAAATAATAATCCCTATATTACCCCCATAAGGAATATATTTTTTATTTTTTGGGGGTTCTTAAGCAAATAGTAGTTTAGGTCTGTGCAAACTCTGGGGCGCAGTACGGCGTTGATTCTGGTCGGCGCGTAAAGTCAGCTTCTCGGGGATGATACAGAAGCGTGAATAGTTACCAACACTACTACATAGGGTTCCTCCTGTAACTAGTCGTATGCGCCCAAAGCCGTATAAATACTCTATACTAAGCCCTACAAAGCTTTGAACAAAACTGGAAAACAACATCAACGGACCTTTCATGTACGGCCCCTATGGCACTGCCTCAGATTCTTTGCTTTGGTGTTGTGCGCAATCTGAGACAGTTCGCCGCTACAGGCATCATTAGGATGCTTTTAAGGGTTTATGGTTTGGTGTTTTACGGTATCATAAGGGCTCTTTTAAAGGTGTCTTCGGGTTTAGGGCTTCTCGAAGGTTTTAAGTTGCGTGCTCACTTGCTTGTTTGTTTGGCGTTTGGTTCCGTTAATAGGAATCTCCAGAGCGAGAGAAACGGAGAGAGAGAGAGAGAGAGGGAGAGACATTCTACATACTAAGGGCTCCTGTATAATTACACCCGGCATCGTGCTGAGGCAGAACCCAGAGACCCAACTACCCCTTAATTTAAGGAATATAGCTTAAATCACAAAAGAAGACCCCTTATAGTTGAAGGTGTACCTTCAACTACCAAACCCTACTTTTTGTAGGTTCTTAGTATAAATCCTAATATGGAATTTATAGGGACCTTACCTTTTTGTAGGTTTTGGTAGGTTAAGATATTCCTTAATTAAGGGGTATTGGGCTCTCTGGGAAGGTCCTGAACCCAGATCTTCAGTCCTGAAGGGCGTTTTAAAAAAGGCGAATACCTTCGCCCAACATCCTAAGCCCTACTTAAAGGCTCATGGGACTTAGTAAGTAAGGTTATAAGTAGGTTATAAATAGGATAACCCCACTTAGGGGACTAATAACCCCAGTTATAACCTACTTACTAAGTCCCATGATCCTTTAAGTAGGGTTTACTATAAGGCCTACCCCTAAAAGCCCCAAACCCCAATATTAAGTAAACTCTAAACCCTACCAGAGCCCCCCCCCAAAGGCCCTGTCATGGAGCCCTTTAGGGTCCTTAATACTGCGTATTTCGTGTATATTAGAGGGTAGTTGAGGGGGGTTAGGTAAGCCCTAATCCCTAAACCCTAAACTCTGAGCCTAAACCCTAAACCCTATAGACCACCCGAGGCGGATGCAGAAGGACCGAAGAAGACTTTGAGGAAGAAGGGCCTGAAGAGCAAGGCTGGCCACGATGGGGATTTAAGGTTTAGCATGTACCTGTAGGTCAAAAGACCTACCCTTTTCAGGAACTGTACATAGAAACCATAACAAGGAACCCTAAAATGGTAGGTCTTCTCGGCTTTAGGTAGAGTTTATAGATTTTTAGGGCTTTAGGGGTTTAAGGGTTTGGGAGTTTAGGGATTAGGGGATTAGGGATTCCTGAATCCACCAAAACCTACTTGTTGTGGGGTCCCTATATGATCTAAATTAGTATCCAAAAAAGGAACCTACAAAAAAGTAGGTTTTGGTCAATTAAGGTAGGGTTTAGGGTGTATGGTTTAGGATTTTAGGGTTCAGGGTTTAGATTCCCCATATCATTGCTATTGGCTTGTTCTGACAGTATCTCCTTTTAGGAGACCCTTTAGAACTTAACAGAAATCTCTGATCTAACATTAATATTGTCCTCTGTCCCTCTCTTGCACCAGGTCGGAAACGAGAAAGTACCAGACGGTGCCACCACGAAACCGAAAAAGAAGGTCAAGAAGATCGTCGCGAAATGAGTATATCAGCAACTAGGTGCCCAGGAAGCACCACTTTACTTTTTTGCTTGGGGGATCTAGCACTTTCGATGTTCTTGACTCAACTCCAAAAGGTTTAACCTCAGTCATATGAAAGGGATACTGTAGGAACCTGATTAAGAAACCTTGGGCCTTTGTAAGGGCTCCTTACATGAACCCTACTGTTTTGAGGTTATAGGGCCAGGGTTTCTTATTCAGGTTCCTATATTACTGCACAAACCAAGGCAAAGGACCATGGGCTCGACTTGCGCCTGCAGCGCCGAGATGACGAACACGCACGACCCAGCCTCCCCGAACGATTCCGATTCGTTTCCGAGCTGATGAGGCCTGCGAGGTCTTACCAAAATTTTAGATTCGATTCTTGCGCTGGCGTTCCTGAGACCGAGCTCTCGGAACCGGGAAACTCAGTGAGGCCATCCCAGAGAGCCCTTACCCCTGAATTAAGGAATGTACCTCAAACGGGCTTCAGATGATGATTTCCGCTATATTCCTTGATTGATTGGTATTAGGCGCTCCGCGATCGCATCTCTACTTCAGAACCCTATAGGAGGTAATTGGGAGCCCTCCTACAAGCACCATAGACACGGCCGTGATGATGTTCAGTGCTGTTTTGCACTCGTAGGCTTTACAGCTGCCTAGACCCCTCAGAACCTAAAGGGTGGTGGTCAAAAATAGGGTCCCTTTTTGGGTCCTTAACATAATACGGCACCTAATATTTAGGGTACCCAAAAAGGGACCATAATTTTGACAACTACCCTAAACCCTGGAGCCTTTCCAATGCACATGTTCCTCCCACGAACATCCGCTAGCTGAGTTCACCGAAGCCTTCCTGAAAGCGCGTGACAAAGCTGTGCCAATGTGCGTGTGTTCTGCACTTCTGCACTCAGGTTCTGGCTTCAAAACTTTAAAACTTAGGTAACCTTTGACCTTTGGCGGTTTAGATATTCCTACAATAATAATTCAATCTTTAAACTAGGTGTTGCTTTCGGACATTTTTTATTTTTGCCTTTTTTTGCCCGGCCTTGGATCAAGTCACTACAGAAGAAGTCATTAAGAGATTAGTCGTGGTAGTAGTAGTAGTAGTTGTTGTTGTTGTTGTTGTTGTTGTTGTTGTTGTTGTTATGACTACTATTATTCAGATTTCAGACCTTGGGGCTCAAGGTCTTAAGATTTGGGGTTCAGGGGGCTTTTGGTTGAGGGTTCACGGTTTAGGGTTCAGGGTTTAAGGGTTTTTCAGTTTAGGGTCTAAGTACACTAACTAGCACTGTATTCTGATACTCTTATGTAATTATAATCGTAGTAGTAGTTGTTGTTATTGTTATTCAGATTTCAGACCCTGTCTATTGGGGCTGAAGGTCTTAGGGTTTGGGGTTTAGGGGGCTTTTGGTTGAGGGTTCAGGGTTTAGGGTTCAAGGTTCAGTGTTTAAGGATCTGGCTAGCCCCAAGCCCAGTAGTAAAAAAAAGGGTTAAAGGGGTCTTTCAATTAGGGTTTAGGTTTTACGGTTTCAGGGGTTTAAAATAGGGTTCCGGGCTATGCAGTACATACTCAGGCGTCAAAGTACCTGTATTATTGGTAGGACCCCTTGAAGGCTCAAGTATTGGGATTTAGTTCTAATAGCAAGGTTTGAATTTAGGGCTTGTAGAACTTGAAGCCCGAAATCCTTAAACCCCCCATTCAAACCCGATGCAACGAACCCCTAAAGAAGCCCTGTACTAGTTAGTGTACTTAGACCCTAAATTGAAAAACCCCTTTAAACCCTGAATTGTAAACCGTGAACCCTCAACCAAAAGCCCCCTAAACCCCAAGCCCTAAGACCTTGAGCCCCAATAGAGAATGGTCCGCCGCTGGGCGCCCCTCCATCGCTGGGCGCCGTCGACAACATCGAGGTGCCCGGGGAGAGTGGGGGCTTTTAAGTATTCAAAGGGGTTAGGCTGTAGTAAGGGTTTATATAAGGTTTGGATTATGGATGGTTTAGAGTTTAAAGCTTCACTTAGGGAGTTTCGGGTCAAGGGTTGTGTGCATTGGGTGTTGTCGGGTGTCAGACTCGGGTTTGGGGTAGGGGGTTATTTGCGGGAGGGATTTGGGTTTGAGGGGCATGTGCGGCTACCGTAACATTTCAGCGTCAGCCCTTAGGACTTTGGACATGTCATGTTACCATTTTAATCATTAGGCTTACCTTCGACTTTAGATGTTTTATTTCAGATTCAGTTCCTAGGTTCATGGGCATTGGCGATGAGCGCTTAGGCGACTGATTCCGATAAGGTGACACTTACACTCACAGCTACCTAGGCCTAGGCGATTGCAGGCGCAGGTAGTTGAAGGCGTAGGCGCAAGGCGTAGGCGCAAGGCGTAGGCGCAGGTGCAGGCGCAGGTTTAGGCGCAGGTGTAGGCGCATTCGTAGGCGTAGGCGCATTCGTAGGCGTAGGCGTAGGCGTACTCGCAGCCATGCCGCCTGTGGCGTTTCCTGGCCTGCCCTCCATGCCGGAGATCCCGGATGGAAGCTTCATCATAGCATGGGGGGCGGAGCACGAGTACAAGGCGACCGGTGCCTTGAGCCTGATTAAGAAATAGTCTTATTTATGAAATCTGTTCACTTATGTGATATAATAATAAGTCATACCAACTTTAAGTCAGTACTATGAATTTTCGATAGTTCTAGTAATAGCAATACCAATGTGGAGACTTATGCGGATGATAAGCATCATACCGTACTTCTCCAAGCAATAGCTACATTCTTATACTATTTGGGTTTTGATATTTGGGCCTCAATGCGGAGGCGCTGGCGGAAAAGGGAGGTCGATGATGACTGGGTATCTGAAGCGCACCTACCCGGATCACGTCCACATGTCGCTTGACGTGAGGCAAATGATGAAAGACCCTGCCAGGGAGCAGGAGAAGGGGCAGGCGAAGGCGTCGGCGTCGGCGGGGACGCGCGGGCGATCCAAGTCGCCCGGGCCGTCCCGGGCGGTGAAGGGAGACTTGGATTTTCAGGTATACGTTGTTTCTTGTATTTGGGAGTAGGGACACCGCTTGAGTTCAGTTGAGGGTTCGTGGTTAAAGTTTAATAATTTGCTACGGATGCCCACCCAGGCGAGTGGAATCCTCAGAAGAACGAGGATTTCCTCTTGGCGATGATGGACGAGCCTGGCTTTATGCGGGCGTTCATTACGGCGGTGGCGATGCTTCTTGGTTACCTCAAGGGGTTGGCGGCGTTCGATGGCGATCTCTGGAAGGCGCCGGTGCTGGTGCAGCTGATCTGCACCCTGATTGTATACAGCCTAGTTTTTTCTTAGTTTTTTTCTGTAATTTTCATTGGAGCTCTAAACCTCAAGTCATTTAAGCCTTTCATCAGGTGCGGCGGGGAAGCACAGGTCGGCGAGCGTGGCGGTGGCGCTGGCGATCCTTTTCAACCTTCAGTTTGAACTGCCCTCCCACAGTGAGACGGGGGTGTATGGCGTTGGCGATATCCCTCTCACACAGAGGGGCAAGGACAAAATCATTGCGGCGGTGAACGAGGTGGGGAGGAAGCTCGGCATTAAGGCGGACTCCCCACCCAAGGCGCCGGCGACGACGAAGGCACCACCAGCAGCGGCGGCTCCGCCGGCGAAGGCGATGCCAACGACGAAGGGTGACTCCAAGGGCTCCCAGGCGGCGGCGGCGGCGCCGGCGGCTGCTACGGATCTGGCTCGGTGTTGTTGTAAAAAGTTGCTGTTGTGGGTTTAGTACTTAGGCATAGGTTCGGTTATATATGTGGGGTAACACATGTTTGCACTTTGGGTGTCAAGCAATTCTTAACCAATCACCTTTCCAAGGCTAAGGGGTCTAAGGCCTATAAGTAGTTAAGCTGGAATCCTGGAAGGTGCGCCAAAGTGTCCTGAGCCATTCGCCGGCGCTTTACAGTGTCCTGGAAGAGCTGGAGGTTGATCAGCGGACATGGTCGGTTCCCAGGCTTATGTTATCCTTCCTGATCCCAATAGACTTAGATTTATTTTAATAATTATTAATGGCTTCTAAGTTCTAAAACCCTGGATTCTCCTGAGTAACCCTGAATCACAAGACTAGCTTTGAAAGCCTGTTAGAGGAAACGCCAACTTCTAATGTTAAAACTGGTTTATGGATTGGACCTGGGCACCATGAACTTGCCCCCAAACTAAGGTGGCGTCGGCGATGGTGCTCATGGCGGGCGGCGTGGCGAAGGCGAGCGAGATTGTCGGCTTTGTCGACAGCAGCTTGGCTGGTATTTGGGCTAGAGCAATCCAAACCCCTACACCCCCAGACCTTGAAGCCAATTGGCCCTAAGAATGATGAAGCTTTTAAGAAAAGATAGCAGGAATCCAAAACAAGCTCTTGTTTCAACCCCCCCCCCCGGAACCCCTAGTACCCTCGAACCCAAAGCTATTTGGAATTGTTTCGATGCACTAAGAAGCTCGCAAGCTTGACACTGGGCTGCCCGAGTGGGGCAACCGCAGCGCGAATTTGACGCGGGCGATGTCGGAACGCATCGATATTTTGAAGCAGCGGTCCAACCAGGCGCCGGCGTCTGAGAGCGGGAGCAGCTTGACTTAAAGCCCAGAGTTGTTGGGGTGTCTATGTTGTTTCGTTGGGATTTGGGATTTATGTCTTTCAGGACCAATAACATGATCCCACTGAGGCGGTCGGCGCGGGCGCACGCCTGCGCGTGGCAGTGACGATCACGGCTGGAAAGGCGGCCACAAAGGCGACGGCGGCAAAGGCGACTACAAAGGCAAAGGCAAAGGCGACTACAAGGGCGACTACAAAGGCGACGGCGGCAAAGGCGACTACAAAGGCAAAGGCGACTACAAAGGCGACGGCGGCGGCGGCTGGTACTACGATCCTGGCTTTGGCTACGGGAAAGGCTGGGAGTGGGAGGAGGAGTATGGGTACGACAAAGGCTATGGCAAGGGTTTCGACAAGGGGTACGAGAAGGGGCGTGGGCGTGGGCGATATGATGACTACGATG